AGAGAGAGAGAGAGAGAGAGAGAGAGAGAGAGAGAGAGAGAGAGAGAGAGAGAGAGAGAGAGAGAAACATAAATAAAGAGCAAGAGAATAGATTTATTTTTTCTTTTTGTTGTTATTTTTTGTTCATTCATTCGTTTCTTTTTACATATTCGTAATTTTTGAATAATCATGATCTCCATATTTGTTATGTATTCTTTCGATCGATGCTGATTTTTTATTTTTATTCACGATAAAAAAAATAATGAGATAAATCTTCCATACGTTTACTTACGTAACATAAGTTTGATAACGTTAAAAATAAGTATTTGTATATTATTATTATTATAATAAATTCATTAATTTTTATTTGTTATCCGAGATGAAGTGAAGATTTATTAAAATAAAATCTACCACTGTATTATATAATACATCAAAATTCTTCCAAATAAAATACTATTAATTATTATCACAAAAATGTATTTCGAACAATTAAAAAATTAATTCTTTAATCAATTAACTATGAGATTAAGAAATATATTTAATTATCGTTTTATTTCAATGACATAATTTAGGTGAACACTTAAAAAGTTTATCAATATTATACCCCATGAAAATTTGTTCCATTTACCTTCCATTATTTATCTACTCTTTAATGATGTGTTCTTGATAATTTATATTATGATGAATAATTAATTCAATGAGAAAAATTCTCTTAAAATATAATTATGAAGAATAACATATACAAGAAGAAAAAGATGTGATAATGATGATGATGGATGCGAGGGCAAAGGGGTGTGGCAGGGGGGAAATAAAAGAAGTGCTTACCAAGTACGGTGAGGGTGATGTCACCTTCCAAGATTGTCGTGTCGTTTCTAGCTTGACAGGAATAACGTCCAGCATCCGAGGGTCTAACATCTTGCGTGTAAATTGTTTGATTCGCGCTTTCCGGATAAAGGATAAAGTAACTCTCACCACCTGGCCAAGGATAAGCTCTATTGTCTTTGAACCTGAAACATATATATATACAATAAAATATTAAGATTTATTATTTTTATTTTCATGCGTATATGTGTGTGTGTGTGTAATGTTTTTGAATTTAAATTTACTTGAATAATATTTTATAATATATTTTGGATAATAATTTACTTGAAAATGAACAAAAAGAAATAATGTACTTTACGATTTTATTTCGTTTCATTGAAATAATTAATCATAGTTAAAGTTTATTATTATTATTATTATTATTATTATTATTATTAATATAAAATGAATATATTGATCTAAGCAAGTTTGAAATTTCAAATTATAATTTATATATAATAAATAAAAATCGATCGAGTAATATTTTGTACTACTTAAAAAATATAAAAAAAAATAAAATCCAAATTATTGTGTTAAAAATAAAAAAAAAGAAAAAAGATATAAATTGACAATGGTTCACTTATTCGATAAAGATTTCTTTATATTAGTTCTCAAGTGAGACGACGAATGGTTAAGCATTGAATCGTCGAACGAATTTATGTTTTCTCGTAGACACCTAACATCTACGTGGAATAATGTAGAACGTAACTTGTGAGAAGAGAAACTTTCCGATAACGAGAGCGATGTCGAAGGCATTTCTCTTTTTCCGTTTTATCTATCTCTCTCTCTCTTTTTTCTTTTTTTTTTTTTCTTTTTCCCCCTATCTTTCTTTCTTCTCGGTTAACGTGGCTTCGTTACGGTCGATTGTCAAAGTACGCGGAAAATGGGAAATGTCGAGTGAAAAAGGACGATGATATTGTGCAAGGATTCACCGTTATTGAACGAAGAATAAAGTAAATATAAAAAGATAAAGAGAGAGAGAGAGAGAGAGAAAGGAAGATCGAATCTTCTATGAATTATTTAGAAGTTAGATAAATTATAAACAAATATATTGAATTATATTTGTTAATATATACATCATAGCAAATATAATTTCAATGTAAATTTTATTATTTCTTTATTCTATTGTAGAAATATATTTTTTTTTTCGCAGAAATGTTTACACTATATATTATATTATATTCATATATGTATAAGAAAAATATATCATACATATATATAATAAAAGATTATAGGAATGAAAGATCGACGTAAGTAGATGATAAATATTGTTTTTTCAAATAAATTCTGAAAATCTGTGTTATATCCAATGATACAAAATTTTTTATGGAAAATATCTCTTACAATGGAATAATTTCGAATTTCTTTGGTAAAAGTTTGACGTGAACTAATGGACGTGGAATAGCGTGTTACTACGGAAGAGCATCGTCGATAATTTTAAACAAAAACATCTTGATGTTTGTTTTCAATGTAAACGTGGTCATTTAAACTGTTTGTTGTCTTGTTATTAATTAATAAAAAAAAAACAATTAATAAATATATATACATATATACACAGGATACGACTGGGTTATGTGTGTGTGTGATTCTGAATTTAAAAATAAGTTGAAAGAAAGAAGTAACATTTTTTTAATTCGAAGTTTGAATTTTCAAGAAAATCGTGTGTGAAAAAATTTGTAATTTAAAGACCTTTTTTTATATCTTAAATTTATAATAATCATTAAATAAATCGTACCTGATTAATCTATGCTCTGTTCTTTATATAATTCCTTTGTTTGAATGGTGATGATATAAAAATCGTTGTTTATAATATTCGGTTATTGCTGTTTACATCAACCTCACAGCTCAACTGTCAGAGACAGACTAAAGATAGGAAAATAAAGTCACGATGTTCGAGACGAAATGTAAACATTTACAGAGAACAATGAATACGAAAGCACAAAAGCTATAAGAAATGTTTTTAATTGATAAATAATAAGAGACACATATGTAATTCGGTATATGCTTATTATGTAGAATTGAAAAAAATACGATTTTCTTTAAAACATTTATTTCAAATAAATTTATTCGGAGATAAGGAAAGAAAATAAATAAAAGATATATTTTTTAGTATCTTGTTACAAACTTATACGTTCATGAAAATCTTATAACGTTAGAAATAAAGAAATAAAATTAAAAAAAAAAATAGAATAATATATTTAATGTATTGTAATATATTTTATAAATTGTATTTAAATAGAAGAAAAAAAAATTAATTGATACGAAGACACCGCGTGATATCATGAAATAATTTTAAATAATAAGGAACGTTTAGATGAGAGATCAAAAATCAATTACTGGGATAAAGTGAAGTAAATGTGCGAGTAGATATACCCGTAGTTAGTATCGATTTTGCAATTTTCTATTGAACAAATTCGATGCGATGCAATAGCAATAGAAGAGCGTATTTCTCGATCTCTATCAAACGTTAACGAGCGACCTATTCGTCGAAGGAAATTCGTAAGCCAAATTCATTGCACAAACCACTAAATGATTCTTGTTTTAATCGATTAATTATACTTCATTATAAATTTAATTTTAACCCTTTGAATGCTATGGGCACATATATGCGTTCAACGTAAACAATCTGTCCAAACTAAGGACGCATATATGCGCTTATCCATTTTTTTTCTATCTATCAACACTTTAGACTCGAAATTCTTTTCTTTTCTTTTCTTTATTTTTATCCAAATAATTCAAATTAACAATAAAATCATTTTGTTTCAATTGTTAGGCGTATTTCACGCTGAAAGGGTCTATAATATAAAATATTATAGATATTAGGATCAGCTATTAATTACGTGCTATTATTCGATATCAAGATAAATATATGTAAAAACACAATATGTTCGTAATTAAGTTCTATAAAAAAAAAAAGAAAAAAGAAACAAGGATTACCATAAAAAAATTTAGTAACACTTCTGCCTAGACAAAATTTCTTATCGTCGTAGAGAATAATTTGTTCGAAATAAAATGAAATTCTATGTTTGAAAACCTTATTTCTATTTTTGAATAAAAAGTAATTTACCTCGGCAGATAATAAAACGTAAAATTTCATATGGGGATCAACTTAACATATATATATCATGTAAATTAAACTGTAGCAATATATTAAAATGAAATTCCTATGGAACTACTAACCCTCTGTGTAAGAAAAAAAGACGGGGGGGGGGCGGGGGGGATTATAAGGGAATAATAAGTAAAAAAAAAAAAAAAAATAAAGGAATACGTGAAAAACGAATAGGAAGAATACTTTTCCTCCTTTCATATCCTTCTATCCAAGGAAATCTTTTTTACGCTTGATTCCACGTGGATCAAAAGGATTCCCCGTTATCTGTCTCCTTTGCTCTTTCACTACCGATCTGCCTATGAGGATATCAGCTATCTCTTTCTAACGTAGTATGCTCGCTCGTTTCCCATCGAAAGAAGATAGAAGAAACCTTTTCTCGCGTCTACTTCCACGAATAAATCCGCTTTCTTCTGAACTCTTTCTTCCCTTTTTTTCTTTTTACTCACACCATAACCAGGCTTTACCCCCTCTCTCAACCTCTCGCTCTTAACTTCTTCCTCTTTTACTCACACCATAACCAACCCCATTTCTATTGCTATTTCTCTCTCTCTCTCTCTCTCAATTTTTTTCTTTTGATTTCTTTCTTCTTACTCGCACCATAACAAACCTCCCCTACTCTATCTCTCTCTTTCTCTCTCTTATCTATTTCCTTTCTATCAGACAACTTGCGGGCGAACCGATACACCGATTTACATCTCTCAAACTCGGCTAGAAAGATTTCGACGAGGTGTGCTTTGTGCGAACATAACTTTGGTTCGATATAAAACCCCTCCCGATGATATCGGTTCTTTCCTTTAACTCCTCTCTTTTTCGCGACTATACTTAGAATTCTTTTCTCTTCTCTTCTCTCCTCTCATCTCCTCACCACTCTCTTTCTCTTACTCTTTCTTTTTCTCTTTTTCATTCTATCTCATCTTTTTTCCTCTTCACCGTAAAACGGAGGACAATGGAAATCGTTCGATTATCGGAAAGCTCAAAAAATTCTCTGCAATATTCTTCGAACGGGGAAACGTCAAATACGAAATCTTGAAATTTTTGTTTAAAATAATGTCGAATGGAGGAAAAAAAACAAAAAGGATTAGATCGAAGTAGAATTTGTTTTATGCAATATGTTTCTGTTTTTTTTTTATATATGTTACCGTCATAGACGGAAATCCGCCATTGCTGGTAATTCCTCGGCATTCTCATCAATGCAAGGAGCCTTCCGATGAAGTCGGATACAGAAGAATTTTTACAGTTTTTCCTAAGCATTAAACATAATACTTTGATATTCTATAGAATATCTAATTACTATTTAAACAATGTTGAAAAAAATACATTTTCGGGCACAGGCACACACAGCCATACGCAACCCCACCTCCCCAAAAACTTTTCAAAGAAATATCAGAGATTGCAATGCTATAAATTGTACAACTTTGCTATTTCTTTGAAAAGTTTTGGTTAATATTTTTTATATTAAAAGTGATTAGATTTTAGTAAAACTTACATTAAATTAAAGTACATTCTTTTGTCTACGCGTAGAATAC